CTGGAGGTAGGTGCTTGATGGTACCCCACACCTCTTCCTCAGTAAAAGGTTGGTCCAGGTCCGCGAGATCATGCTGGCTCAAATCTAACACATCCAAATTGATGGTTAAGTCTCGCTGGGCACTTGTACCCAACAATTGATTATAGAACTCAAAGATTGCAGCAGCCTTGTCTTCATGATTCGTCAGCACTTGTTCCTCTGAAACTATTTTTGAGATGAAATTCTTCCTCTTTCGATGGCAAGCATGAGAGTGGAAGAGAGCCGTGTTAGCATCACCATCCTTTAACCAACTAATCCTCGACCTGACCCGAGCAATTGTTCTCTGGAGAGAACTCAAAGCAAAAGAATGTTTCTTCAACGAATGCAGCAGCCAGAGCTCCCCTTCTGAGAGCTGTCGGGTGTCCTGAGCAATCTCAAGTTGGTGAATAATTTCTCTGGCCTGGCCAGGCCAAGCTGGGTGCCTGGGTACTGATATGACCAATGCATTTTTGGCTCCAACTTTGTAATGCTCGGGTTAATAACTTAAACTTCAGAGACAATGTCTCCAAGGGACAGGATCTTGCTTCCACCGAACCCCAGGCCTGGGCAACTACCTCCTGGAATCCACCCAAACGAGGCCAAAATGACGCAAAATGGAACCTGCCCTTGCCAGGCAACATATCATTCAACGGATGAGAGGACAATGGTCTGAATCCTGAGAAGCTGCACTTTGCAGCAAGCAGTTTGGGAATAAAGTTTCCCACTCAATAGAAGAGAACACCCTGTCTAACTTGCTAAGAGTAGGTGAATCACCGCCACTACTCCATGTGAATTTACGACCAGTGAGAGGCAATTCCTTGAGAGCCAAGTCGTCCAGAGCACGATGAAAACGACCCATCATAGCACGATTCAAGTTTGCATTGTTCTTATCTTCGTCCTTATAAATAAGATTAAAATCCCCAGCGATCACCCATGGGCCCTGGCAGTGAGTGCGAATCGAGCGGAGTTCTTGCAGGAAATTAATCTTCTCATCATTCCCTTGTGGCCCATACACGCATGTAAGCCACCAAGGTTCGCCGTCAGCCGGGAGGAATTGAATCGAAGCGCAATGAGCATCCACCCGAGTGCTTCCAGCAGGGACAATATCTTGCCTCCACGCAACCAGGATCCCTCCATTGGCACCTACAGATGGCACCACCGTGAAATGACAGAAATCTGGACCCAGCGTAGAAAGAACAAGCCGCTGAGAAATAGCCTCCATCTTTGTTTCTTGGAGACAAACAACATCCGCTCTAATGGACTGAACCAGCGTGTGAACAGAGTCTTGACGTGCGGTAGAGTTTAAGCCCCGCACATTCCAAATGAGAATCTTCGCAGGATCCATAAGTCAACGAAAAGAAAGGCGACCAGGGAGCATAACTCAGCAGGTGGTTACCATCACGCCAGGGCACCTGTAGCCCTCGGGAGGAGACCAACCAAACAAAAGCTGCGAGAGCCTGAACATGGGACGCCGAGAGGGAGCCGCTGAATAATTTGGCGTAGTCGTCTCTTAACTAATGGATAATATGTTATATAGCTAATTCTAGTCCAAGGAGATTGATTTATGAAAAAAAAAAATTCATTCACAACAAAGAACCAATAGGATTATGACCACCAAAAAGGGTTAAGAAGTTGTCTAGAACAGCAAGACAATGTTAGTTTCAACCATACAACTCAAGGTAATCTACTAAAATTATGATGGGTATCCTATACTGCTGGGACCAGGAGCAGTCGAGCAGGATCGACTTGACAGGGTCCTGAAGAGTCGCATAGCCCAAGTACTCAACAATAATCGGATTTTTTCTACCTTGTGACAAATAGAGCCCCATCCCAAATATGTGGGCTAACATCTCGTGCAGAATCACAATAACTCATTTGCAGGAAAAAAATCAGTACTGGATTCAGAATGACTGGAAAATGGACTAAACATTGCCTGGAATGAATGTGCCTCACCTGCTGCAGAAGTTCTTCCTTCGAAGAAAAAGGGGACCAATCAAGTACTATCTTCAGACTACTATCCCAATCACCCTGTGAACCATACACCAACGGTACAATGTCCCCATCTTGGATCTTAAAATCAAGCTGCAATAGTAATGGAAAGTGTAAGATCTAGACAGACAAAACATTGCCTCAAACACAAACAGCTTGTAAAATTCACATACCATTGGGACAACTATGTCATCCTTCATTGTCTTCCTCAAAAAGTGTAGGAGAGCAAACCTATACTCAATGTAACATTACTGCAAGAGAATGAACTATATGAAAATCATTGCTAATTACAGAATAAGATTCAGTAAGTACCATGAATTCTTTCAAAATAAATCAAATCCAAATTCCATTAAGAACATTTACCTTCCACGGATTGCACGAGTAAAAACAATTGCATCTGCACCAAGTCTCATTGTGCTTGTCTTAAAGCCATTTCCATCTGTGCAGTAGAAGAAGGTGAGAAAGTAACAAGAGAGCAATAGCAAGAGTTTTATACATGAAACTATAAAGCAGCTAGATACTAAATAAAAAAATTATACAAGTGTTCGAACAAAAATATCATCATGAGCTAGGACAAAGCAGCCTTTTCTTTGAATGTAGACAGTAAACAGTCAGATCTATTTGAGATTTGATAATTCATAATGGCAACAACATTGCAACTCAAATGGAAGAACTTAAGTTGTTTAATACCAATCCCGTAATGGACATACAAGTAAATATCAAATATGTTTTTTTTGTGAGAAACCGAGCTTATCAACTGTAGCACAGAGTGTCATTTGAAGGTATACAAAATCCACCGACAACTTAACAAACATATACCTAAAATTTAGGGGTGCTCACATGACGGTGATTGCTCTAGGAAATATTATTATTAGTTCAAACTTGGATTATATTGGTAGCCAAAATTCCAAATCTCCACTATCCTATCCTGTTACAGACTCTATTTGGCACAAGTGAGAACTGGGAAGGTCCACCTAGATTAGAAAAAGAGTAGCCCACGATGTAAGGAGAGACAGTCGGTACGTTATGAAAGAGTCATCCTAAAAGGATTATATACTAAATGCTTCCTCCAGAAATTTGAGTGCACAAGCCTCATCAAGATTAAATCATTTGAAAGTTCAATCATGTTAGTCAAGGTCGTAAAACCATCCAGTTCAAACAAAATAATACATACACTGGCCAATAGTGGTCTTAGATTTCTTGGTTGAGAATCCTAAACTCATGCATCGACGGACACCTTCAGGATCCATGCCGCCTCCATCATCTGTGAAAATCCATGTTAACGGAAATCAATGTAGGACAAACTCTGATCTACCCCAACCTGTTCAACTAATTATATTCCAACCTCGAGTTTTATACCTTGGAAAACTAGCATTGAACTATTGTCTTTCAAATTGATGCTTTTATCCACTTTTATGAACGTGGCACCATTGCTTCTCTGAGACAATATCAGAAGACAATTACAGCTATTTGCAGCATATACCAAAAACAAACTGAGAAAATTCAGCTAGTTTTAAGAGAAATGCACAAAAGGTTTAGATGAATACTACAAACCTCATCCACCGCATTGTCAAGAAGTTCAGCTATAGCTGCAACAAAAAAGAAGGAACAAAATGTAAGGGAATATTGACCAGACATACAGATATCTTGAACATAAAAGATGAACAGATGTCATTCCCATCATAATTATCAATCATCTCGTCGTCACTATTGTTCCAATAAAACATTATTTAGGGATGACAGGAAGTTGCTAAATCGCCATGATGCCAACAGGGATTATGTGCTCTAATTAACAGTGGCGGAGTGTGAGGTGAAATTAAGGGGGGGCCATTTCAGTATTGCACAACACAAATGGTCATCAAAAGAAACTTCACAATTGCTATGTTTTGCAAAGCTACACTGTACAGTTGATTGTAATGGGCATAGGAAACATGAATAGCTTGTATCAATAGGCTAGTTTGCGGCTTGCAGCATGGCTATTGGTACGACTAGTATGCTTCTACAGGCTATGCTCATGCAGAGTTTGAAATGAGCTGAACATGATTACTAGTATGTAGTTATCAAATTGTACTACCGCACTTTGTGTCTCGTATTGCATTAATGTTTAGCGGCAACATACTAAACTTAAGAGTAGTCAATAGAGGGCTCATGTGGGGAGATAGTGCATTCAGTGGCCTTGCATGGTGCCATGCAGAGTGCAACAAGCAAATAGGATTTACTCAATCGAAACTTTAACAGACAAGGGGGGGAGCCCAGTTTGCGCCTCCACAAGGCTCCGCCCGTGCTAATTAATAAATAACAAGCTGCTCATCAGAGAGAGAGAGACACCGATTGGCATCATCTACCATTTCCAGCACAATCAATACACACAGAACTATGAAAAAGTTCCACACTCAGGGGCAGTCGAAAAAAAGTTTCTTCCATATCCAAAACTTAATCAGAAACAATGAAACTAACAGGAACCACTGCAGTGTAAGCGTAACCCATTAATATCAATCAAGGGACTACTCTTTCAATTACTAAAAGATCTTCTCTCTTTGCCCTAACAAACTTGGTTTTATCTCATCCAGCATAACAGACACATCACACTACTAACTAAGTATCACAGTTAGATAATCAGCTATTTTTTTTCTTCCATCACTTATCAAATACGGTTCAAAGTGTAGCAGCAGCAACAGTGCCATATAGAATGCATTTAATCACATCAATCAGAGGATGGATCTATTTTGTTTTTTGTTTTGTGCAAACTAGAGGATATCGCTTTCCCCTCCTTGCCCTAACAGGGTAACAGCAATAAGACTGAACCAATCTGCAGGCATCACCAACCTCCGAAAGCCCACTTGTGGGAGGTGGCGTTGGTGTGGAGGAACTTAGGGTGCACGCGCGCGCGGTCGAAGTCCCCCGCCTCCAGCGCATCTGCGGCCACGAAACAGCACCATCAGCGAGCGGCGACGCGAGAGGAGGGCGGAATTCGAGGAGGTGAGGTGAGGGACCTTGGAACTCTCTAGTCGGTGCAGTGGGGCCCTCGTACGCGCCGGCCTTCCAGAAGCTGCGGCAATCGAGGGCACGTCCGCCGCCGCCACCGCTGCCGTCCATCGCCAGCGGCATTTGAGGGGGCGGGGCCTTGGATGTTAGGATCTGCAGGAGATCGCCGGAGTGGTTTTTACGAATTTCTCAAAGTCACAACGCCCTAAAATCAAAACCGCTCCTCGCCGTCGCATCCTCGCACGTAATAGGCCGATGGATGGATATAATGGTGTAATTGGGCCGGAGTTGCGTGGGCTTTTAGTCTTGGGAGTCAGGCAGGAGATATTGGGCTTACTGATCCAGATCCAGGCTGGAGAGGAAGTTTGGGTGTACTTTGTTGTGTTCACGAGTTTTTTTCTTTGAATCTTGGTTCCTGTTGGATTTGTATTATTATATGTTTCATTGATCTAATGAAAAGCACTCTTTTCTCAAAGAAAAATACAAATGGACAAAACCTACAGGGCTCATATCTTGTGCATCAAATTTGCATATATTATATATTATACTAATTTTAAAATTCCCGAACTTGCAAAAAATAATCAACACAACCTGATAGCATAAAAACATTTTGTTTTATATGTTTTATAATTGGATTTTAAACTACAATTATAGCCATAGTCTGAAGTCACTAAATGGGATGCAGCAACGCAAACAGATGATCGCACGATAGATAAGTCCAGTTTCAATGGGAGGTTTCACGTTCCATCTTCCAAGACTTCATGTGTTGGAAACGGTGCAGATAAGTTTCATTCATACGAAACTTATTTTATCACATAAAACTTTCGTTATCTCTCTTTTCATCTATTCCATAACATGCAACTTATTTAATGTTATGAAACTCTCACGAAACTCTCATTGAGACAGACCTGAGAACAAGGCTAATAATAGAGCCCTCTCTTAGTTGTATGTACATTTACACCCTACCGATCAGTCTATTTATATAGTGGTTGGTTCATCTTTGATCCACTTTTCTCTATCTCTACAACTAAAAAAATCATACGGTCAACATCTACCCGGTAGGACGATAGATCGTGCGACCCCGCGTCTCGACGGCAGGACGAGTACACGTGCGACACAGCAGCCTCCGCTCCCACGCCTCCCACGTCGCCGCCGACGCCCGCCTCTGTCCCATCCCGCACAGCACACTGAGCCCCTGCACGCCGTCGTCAGCGCCAGCACCGACGTCGCCCAGCACACTTCGCGACGGCCTCATCTCGTGCCGCCGTCGCTGCGTCTTCCTCATCTCGCGCTGCCACCGCCGCGTCTTTCTCATCCCACGCCACTGTCGCCGCGTCTTCCTCTCACCGGCGAGGAAGACGACGTCGTCGAGGGAAGCACAGGCGCCGTGCGTCCACGGTGAGCCGCCTGGATGTCGTCGGTGAGCAGGAACTGAGGGATCACCGCGACGTCAAAGCCATTCCCAAACCAAGCAGCTCATGGCAGCTACTCTCCCTGCGTTGAGCGCCCTCTACCTGCATCGAGCTCCTCCTCTCCGGCCACCGCCCTGAGGTCCCCATCAGCCTCCGTCGCCTCCCACTCGACGACCGTCGCAGCCACCCCCAATCCGGTGCTCTCCCGATGGATTCCACCACCACCGGCCCTCGTCCCAACGCCGCCACACCGGTCCCTCAAGCGCCGCAGAGGCCCCCTCTTCCACCCTCGCAGCAGGTGATGCGGCGGCATCGGCAAGGCCAGCACGCAGTCCCAGATGCGGCGTAGAAGGTTGGAGCCCCCAAGAGGAAGTTGTCCGCCTCCCCAGCAGCCAAGAATGCCCCACCTCTGTATGACCTGCCGCCGGCAGCCACCGTCTTCAACAACGGTCTGGACGTGTCCATGGAGGAGGTCGGCGTGGACCTGTTCGGTCCAAGGTAAAGCTTTGACCTTTTCCCCCTTTAATTTTGTTAACGAAATTAAAATAATCTGGTCACTATCTTGTTCTTGTTCATGTATGGACCAACCGGTTTGCTTGTTCAGGCCTATCTTGTTCATGAATGTTCTTGTTCAGAATACATGTTGGAGCTTTCAGATATATATAGCAGATAATATAGAGCTTTCAGATATATAGCAGATGTTCTGTTGCATATAGTTTTAGTGGTTTTGGAGTATGCCTGTTGTGTGGTTTTGGAGTATGCTAGGATTGTTTGGTTAGTGTAAGCTGAGGGTGGGATGGATGCACGATTCAAACCGATTAGCGTCCTGGTGTCGTGCTAGGTTGTAAACCTGAATAGCAGGTGTGTGGTTTGGCTGCATCATTTTAAAGTCAGTTTGTCGCAACCATAGCAGGTGTGTTGCAGTTCACTTTCGTTCTCTGATTGATTTTCCCCCTTCAAACTGGTGTGATGTCTCCTATTGCCATAACTAATTCAACGGATTAGCTTATGTACCTGGCGTGATGCCCATTACCATACATAATTCAACGGCAATGATAGCATCATGCATATACCATGGGGGAGTCCACTATCCAAAAGACATCACAGATGATTGCCTCTTAGTGAATTCTGCGCACTCTTGGTGCGGCAGGATGATGGCCACCCAATTCAGGATGAAGCGCATATTTCAATTTCTTAGCATTTTGCCGGTGTTGATTTGTAGCACAATAATCAATATCATGCTCTTTTGGTGTGTTTTGTGTGTTTTTAGCTTTCTGCCTTTGTGAAGTTGGAAATATGCATGATATTGCTTGATTGGAAATGGAAGATGCATATGTCCCAATGAAATTATATATTGGCTATTCCAAGAGCTTGATATCCGCTTTAATGAGACAATGTCTGAATTGCATTAAGGGAAATTATGTAATAGTAATTCTTACATGAGAGGAGATTGATGCAAACTATATAATGCATGCCTTTACCAAATTAGGTTGTGTTCAGCTCACCATATTCATCGATACTGAGTGTTGCTATATTTTTGGATGCTCTTATAGCTCAATATTATTATTTTTATAATTACGTGCAGTCACATTGTGTGCCTTACTGATCATATACACAAAGTGAACTCCAGTAACTTCCAACAATGACATGGCATGATAATCCAATGTTCTATGACATTCTCGAAAAAGAAAAGAAATGAAGAAGATTAACAAAGGAGAGGGGAAAGATTGTCAGAAATCAAAACTCTAAACGCATTAGAATGAGCTACAGTGTACCTTCTTTTCCCCCCAAATTTCAATCTCTCTTGTGACACAGAATATAGATTTGAGAAAGTTCTTGTGACATAAAATATAGATTTGAGAAAGTTGTCCTTTCGAATGCGTGCAGTTCTGCTCTGGATTTGTTTAAATTTCTTTTTTCTGTTGCCTAATAGATCTGTAAGATAGAAGGAAGTTTCATAAGGAGAAGAAGAAAGAACTAGCCACATCAGATAGCTTCGCATGTGAGAATTGAACCTTAACGCTTCTAAATTTTTAATGATGAGATCAGAACAAAAGAGAAAGAGTTGATTGTAAAGCTGGATTATGATAGAGTTAACTGGTGTTCACTGTATGCAGGTTAGAAAAGAAATATGAAAGGACCCTTATGATGCTCCAGACGATCAGCGTATATCAAGGTAGAAATACGAAATGACATCTTGCCTTGCAAAAAAATGTAAGTATTATTATATGTTGATCAGACATATTTACACTTATAGTTACAGTATATTTTAAGGAAAGAGGAGGAAAGAAGAACTTAGCAGAGCGAAAGATCATAGTAACCACGTGAGTTCAAGAGGTGAGCCAAAATCACTTGCCGTATTAACATGTATGCCCTAGATTATTAATTTCATAGACTTGGGGATCTAATATAAAGGATCAGTGTTTTTAATGGTTGAACAATTATACTGTACTTTTCGACATTTCTATTCATAAATCTAGGATTTGGTGTTCAGTTCAAGACACTGGGATATGCACTACATATTGAATTTAATCTGTTTTTTTGACACTTGTGTGGTTCCAGTTGATAGCTGAATAGCTTTCCGAGGATGAGATTGCTGGGTTAAGACAGATATTTAAGGTGCTGAATGTTAAAAGCTACAGTTACTTTTGGTGATCTTATAGCAGGTTTAAGGAAATGTGGTACTGAATTTGGAGGATAGAAAAATAATTATATAATGGAAGTGTTAACATGAGATATTTTCTTGTTTGACACATGGCCTGTTGTTAGTATGTCACTCATCATTTGTCAATCAGTGGTTTATAAGTTTCTAAATCTTTCGCAGGCTGATGAAGACAATACCACTGCAGCTCTGCCTCTTAACGAAATAGAATGGGAAGTGCACTCGATGATAGTTTTACTTGCTTCGACAAAGACAGAAGTGGTAATATCATAATCCCAATCATCTCGAGGACAAGTTGGGCTGGCCACTACATCTCTTGTACTGCAGCTGAAGTAAAAAATCCAGTGGTATGTAGTCAATCACGTTGTTGATCATCTGCAATGGTAATAATTAGCCATTTACATTTTGGTCTTGGATTACCATAAAGTTCAGTTCCATATAAAATTCTACTTGCATAGTATAGCAATTTTTTTGCCCGTACTCTGAGCCATGTCTGCTGCCGAGTGGTCACCGTCAGGGAACTGGTGGCTACACTTGCAATATTTATACATAGGATGTATAGATGGTGAAAATGTTAGCTATGATTGAGTTGAATTCTTGTGTTGCGTGTTCTACTTTCCATACCATTGCACATGTTGTGAAAAAATGATTTTTCCTTTTCCATTCAAATTGATCATGGCTAATTGATGTTGATTGTGTTTCTGAATTTCTACTTCCTAACTGGTATCCAGGTGCCAGGTACAAGTGCATGCTCAGCGCCTCAAGGGATGATGAGGGTCAGTCTCACAGACTAGGTACAAGTGCATGCCTGGCGAATTGTTTCAACATCCAGAAAAATATTTAAAAGTAGCTTATTTAAATTGTTTCAGTATACAATATTTGCTGGTAACCTTTGGGACCTTCCTTAATTAATTAATGTCACCCGGGGGTGTTTTCTCCACGGTTTTCGTTCAAAAAAACTGTTAATCTAGCTAGCTATGTACTGCCACAAGCCCATAACAATTCAATTTATCTTGTTTAGGTGAGTTTTCTCAATGTTCCAAGAACTGTACTGTTCTAAGATTACCATGAGTTCACCATCAGATGTGAGTAAAGAATAAAGGAACAAACAGAACAAGTATCATTTATTAATGATGGATTCCTATATGATGAACTGTTTTTTTTTTCATATGTGTTAACCACCAGCAAATACACATAGGCTGTTATGGAATTTTGAACCCGTAGCAACACACGGGCATTAACCTAGTTTTTTACTCTTATAATTTTTCTTGGTTGCCGTTGCATTAGTTGGATGTAAATGTATAGGTCACTTCTCTTCTCTCCCATACTCTCTCTCCTCTACCTAACAAGTAACAACCCTTTACTATACTTGTTGTAAGCACAGGAGTATCTCTCTTAAAAATACTATAGCTCGCATGGCATCCTGTAACACGTTATCCCGTAAAAAGCTGACCGAGAAAACTCCTAAATACCAAATGCTTAGACAATTAGTTTCCCTATTTACATCAGAAAGAAGTGGTATAGTATATTATTTGCCGTTGAAACTCTTTTTCCTTATCTTATATTCTATCCCTTATAACTTTCGTGTTGAACCAAAATTCTAGATGAAGTGATGCACCATGAGTCTATTCCTTAAATGTAGTGGAATGATTTCATTCTTCGTACAAGTAATAATCATTATTAGCTTATGAGAAAAGAGGTGGTCATGCATCAACTCATAACATTCCACAAACCAAACACTCTTTGTTTATCAGTGGTCCATGCTAAGGAAACAAATTAAGTGCGGACCGTCCGCACCCAGCAACATGCGGACGTCCAATCAATTTGCGCCACGTGGGAAACAAATTAGAAGCCAACCCACGGTGCTGGTCAAGATTAACAGGTCCACTAGTCATAATACGCTGGACGTCCGCACCGTGCTGCATGCGGATGGTCCCTATGTGATTTTTTTCCCATGCTAACCAAGAAAACTTGTTTGTACTAGGGATGGTCCCTATGTACTTCATTCTCTCCTAGACTACATCATCTATTCTCCCACATGAGCAGAAAATCAGGATCACCGGGGCTATTTAGTTCGGCTTATAAGTTGTTTATAGCTAAAATAATCTGAAACTAAAAGCCAAATGACATGTTTTTTTTAGTTTTTTGTCACGTTTCTCCAATAGCCTCTGTTTGTACTAAAATAGAGAAATTGGGTTAGACTAGCTTTATTTTAACCAGGTTTTCCGATCAGTTTGTGTAGCTTCTCAAGAAAACATTTTTATGAGTATTCGTGTGCTTTTGTGCCGCCCATCGGATTCCCCAGCTAATCACCCTTTCACGTGGTCATTATGCATCCCCATGCATTCTGTCCTTTTGAGCAAGTATAATAACAGGCTGTAGACTGGCTAAATGTTGAGGTGAAGGAGAGAGAAGAGGAAAGAGATGGGAAGCGGACTGTAAACTTACAGCCGACTTAGGCACGAGAACCAAAAAATTTTGTGAAAGAAACAAGTGAGTCATGTATTAATAGTGAAGATCTAATTATTATATGGGTTGTTGAGAAAATGTTGCAAAGAACCTTAGCGTCAGCAGCCGGCTATAACTATTAGCTTTGCTCTTAGTGATCAGTGACCATGCGGTTCAACAGTGATAACGTATATCGAGATTCACCCACATCAATGTAATCACTGTTTTGCAACAGTAAGCTAGCGAGGAGAGACTCGTGAAAAAAAAGAGAGCGTCGCTGCTCTCGTCCCATGCGCGCCGCTTCCCTCGCCGGCTCGCCCCCGTGCACGCTGCTCGCCTCTCCCATGCCACTCGCCTCGCGTACGGCGTCGACCCTGCAGTGGGGAGGCTTCCTCGCGCCTTCCGCTTCGGCATCGACGACATTGATTCCAACATCATAACCAAATAGATGGTGTTGCTCTGTAACAGGTACAGGTTGGAACGATCTCCATTAACGCTTCCTTCCCTTTTGCTGAACTATAGAACGCCTTGAACACTACCGTTTGCATTTAGGTTGGCACGGGCAATGTTTTTTTTTTTTTTGAAAAGCTGACCACCATGGGAACTTGGGAAGGTCCGGGACTTGCGTGGAAGTTAAGAGTTTGTGGATGTTCCTTGTTTTCCCTCATAGAATTCATCTCGCATTCAGAAAAGCTACTCGCCCACTCTCCCTTTTGATTTTAGGTAAAATAAAAAGTGCTACTCTCCACTCCCCCCTTGTGATTTTTGGTTAGATTTGAAGTAGGACTGAGAGAGTTATTAAGTTTAAAATCCATGCTTTGGGCACTTAATTTTTTTTTCTCAAACCAACGGAATAGCACGGTAAAATGGTGGCCGTAGAAAGTGGATCAGGCAACGACGACCTCCCCAATCGCTATGAAGATCTTCGTGCTCCAGCGGTGTTTTATTTTGAAATCTAAATGAATAAGAATTGGAGTAACTGTATCTATAATCTATCATAATAAGCGTGTATATATCTTTCATAATAAGCATGGAGAACGGGTGGCTTGTAGAGGTGTCTTCCTAAATTCTCTACGTGTAAAGTTACAATATTTACGTCTAAATATTTTTGTGCCTAGTAACAGAAGAAAAAAAATTCTATTAAGGTTTAAGGTTGTATTTTAATTTGATACAAACTTTACCAGATATTATCATATTATTGTCAATATTAACTTATATATTATGCATGCTTGGTCATCATAAAATAAAATATAGCTTTTAAAATTTTATAGACAGAGAAAAAAATATATATAGATGTACATTTTCGTTTCCATTTCGCATTAACGTTTCAAGGTGAACTGGTAATTTCGCTCCAAAGAAGAATATAATACTGAATATATAAATAACAATAACTTCAAGGCGAACTGGTGATTCCACTCCAAAAAGAATTAAAACTAAAATATCATAATTGCTGTCATATATTTTAGCACATCACTACATCAGTGTGTACATATATTTAATTGTTTGTTGCTCCTATATGTCAAAAACATTCGAGCTTATGTCCTTGAGTCCAGTTCGATCTCCAAGCCAAATCAAAAGAGAGCTTGAAATTTTAATCATTTCGTTGTCCTGGTCGGTTCGCTGCTCTAGCAATGGCTTGATTTTCTAGTTCACCCTAAAGATGAACACATTTGCTCCTCAATTGGTTACTCTGTACTTCTGCAGAAGCAAATGTTCCAATTAATTTCATTAGACAGAAAATGTTGACAGTAAGAATCAACAGATGAGTCCTATGGAGAGCTGCTACAAAAAATTGCAAGTCAAATTGAATAAGTTTATCTCCCTCTGATGGAATTTGCATAGTATGCCTTCTGGTTCACATTGTTACATTGTGTCTGCTAAAAGATTTTATGCAGATAACAACCAGAGCTTATGTATAACATGTGAATAAATTTGAGACAATGTACCTTGACGGTGTTAAGTAGAACTTTGGCTTCATTGTTGTTGTTGAAGTGATCACGAACAGGCTGCAAAAGAAAAATTAGTGAGTTAAACCTACAAGTATGAACCAGGACTGAAAACATTGTGCAGTAATAGCTTCTTCCTAGACAAAGGAAGATCCAGCAATAAACAAGATGACAAGTTAATCCAAAACTACACTAGCAAGAAACAAGACCAATGATGCAGCAATAAAAACAGCCCACAAATTCAATTTGTCAGGATAGCAGCTATTGCAACTTCAAAGGCATCACAGTGCAAGACATGAAAAAGACAAAGATTGCAAATATACAAGCTTCTGACCAGAGAGAGACTAAGATACTATATAGAAAAAAAAAGTAAGGTCGAGTGAAGTGAAATTTTTACCTGCAAAATTTCATTTATTGCTTTTGCCAGTGCAGGTTTGACATCGGCAGGATGCAAAGCACCAGTCTCGTAATCAGAAATTAGTTCATCCATGCTTGTAAATGTCCTGTTTGAAAGCAACCACTTTAGAAGTCCATCAGAGATAATAAATCATGTCATGTTGGAAATTCAATAATCTAATTGCTGCATAATTAATTGCATGACCACAGGTGTCAGCCAAATATAAATAATGGTGGCACGGAACTATATATCTCCCTGGTTCCACCACATTATTGACGGAAAAAAAATAATTTTAGCAGATGAGATAAAAATATTACTTGTTACCACCATTGCTTTCCTTACGGATGACCTCAAACCTTCCAAACCAAGGGAAAACAATGTATTTAATGTACTCCAAACAAGGATTCCCCTCAACAATTTTGGGAGGGCAAAAAGCTTGCTTTATCTTCACATTAACTTGGGCCTGCAACAACAGCGAAGCTTATGAAACTATATTATCCTAGAAAGAAAGATGGGTACAACACATGCATGATGCTACTTAGCTACTATTCAAGATCAAACATTTAAACAGTCAGGTAATATAGACAAAACAGAGAGCAAAAACTAAATCCATAAGACAAATTTTAGATTGGAAGTTATTATTAGCTTATAAACATTGATGACTGATGCCTGTACTCCATCTATATTCTATCATGACTATTCATGAGCAACAAAAGACAATCCAAGCAAACTACAGATATAAAGAGAAATGATAATTCAATTCATTAACTAGAATAAGAAAATAAAACACACAGCTAATTAGCATGTAAGACTATGGTTAATCAGTTACAGCAACTTTTCATATATTAATGTAAACGGTGCATCACCCCCGTATACATATAGATGAACACAGCTAACAAAAGTCATGAACACCAGATTTTTAATATTGTGATACAGCTTTATTTTCTAGCAATGAGATGAGAAACATATACGACAACTGTACAACATTCTAGCCAGGCAGTATCCTTCACCATGTTACCATCTCCACTGCCCCAAGCAAAATAGAGTTGAACCACTCTTGCGCAATCATTGATGCATAAAGCGATTTTGCGTTAGTCTCATTAATATTTTCTAGTAAAATAATCAAATGATAAAGATGGCATTTTACTATTACACTGCATCATTAGGTGTCACAAGAACCAAGAGGATCAAAAGAATGTTGGTGAGGAAGAAAAACATTTCATGAGAAATATATTACCTCATCATCTTCCATAAAGATAGCTGAGGATGGATCACTCTTTGACATTTTCTCCTGGCCTTCTTTAAAACCAGGGAGCATATCTGCATTTCAGGTTAAGCAAAAAACACATGCTCCACAAACCAACAATGAACAATCACTTGTTATGAACTCCATCGCCGTAGACACATGACCATGATAAACACATATGCCCGAAAAAATTTATTTAAAGGAAAAAAAGAGAACACGATCAAAATCACTAATCAGGATACGATGTGAAAGAATAATTGGTTTGTTCTTCCTTTTGATGTCATCGCAGTACTCCCTAGCTAGCATATTGACCTTCCTTTGGTCCATCCCCAACTGGCATATGTCAGCCTACAAAAGGAAAATGATAAGGAAAGGGATTTGTATACAGAATTATTTTTTTCTAGATTGAAGGTGTACGCATTGAAACATCAAAAGCCTTTCAGTCATCATTATTATGAGTAAATACAGTCAGAATGGAAATATCAAAAGCCTATCAGAACCCAAAGAGAATTCAATAAAATTTATTTCCAGATACCATGGAATGCAATAGCGCGATAAATACTTGCCTTCAAGAAAAATATATCAGCACATTGCATGCAAGGGTAGAAAATCTGGGCAGCAGTCAAGTCGTCTTGCTCACTTCTGCCCATAATTTGGCAGCATCTGCAAGTAAAGGAAAAATTGAATTACTTACACTTCATAATAAGCACATAGAGGGGAGATAACCAACCATGTTTTGATGTTCATGCTCAAGCTTTCAAAGCGAAGAAGGCTTTTAATGGAAAACACAACATAAACACGAGCGTACCTCGTTATCCTTTTGACGTTGTTTTTCCGGGCAATGTCCATCACAATTGGCCAGTACTCATGCGCGCGGTTGTTGATCTCCTCGGAGGACCACAGGAACTCCACCCCGTCGAGGTTCATCCCCGCCGCTTTCCAAATCTCGATCATGTAGCGCCCGACCGTCTGGATTTTCTTGAGGTCACCTCCCATCTTGTTGTTGAGCTGCGCGAACCAGTCAGCGATCCAAATTTTCACCTTGCACTCGGCCCTGATCATCTTGTTGACGTTGATGGTTTTCACAATGCCCTAAGAATACAAGATAAGCATATGTCACGACCTTTTCTCCTACTGTTAAGCTTGCAAGATTCAAACAAAGATGATTTTATTTTTTATGTGTATAATGCCGGGGAGGCGGGGCTGAAAGCAGAAGGTCGAACCTGAGCGATGTGCATGCGTCCGGAGGGCTCGAAGCCGTCGTAGCAGATGGGGACGGGCTTCTTCTCAAGCAAGCGTCTGAGCTCGTCCTCCTGGATGCATTCCTCCCCGATCCCCCGCAGCAGATCGAACCGTTCATCCAGGGTCATCGCCGCCACGCCCCCTGCCAGATCCTCGGCGGCCGCGGCAGCGACGGCGGCGGCGGAAGAGGAAGAGGAGGCGCCAGGAGCCGCCTTGGCTGCCGGCGTGGAGTCCATGGCAGCGGCTGCGTCGGTGGAGGAGCAAAGGATTCGACGAGGTCGTGCCGGGAGACGGCGAGGAGGGGATGGCGGCGGCGGGTGGGTGTGCGTGAGGAGGAGAATTGAGATGGCGGCTTCGGGGTGCCGCGAAGGCAGCCAGGGTTTTGCTGGGGAACCGGGCCGCGTCAACGACAGCGAGGCCCAATATCATCGTGGGCCGTTGTTGGTCAGGACCTGTGTTTCTGGTGGGCAGAGATTTCAGTAGCAAATCCAGAGGTGTTCAGTGAGAGCTTCTGCTAACGTACGCTTCTTGACAGTTTTCTTAGCCACCAAAGAATGCAAACGAGGGGCAGCTTGCAAAGGGACATTTTTCTTAGTAAAATAAATTTAATACTATATCTACAACTTCTTTCTTTTTAGGTTGACTTGTTTCATTGAAAAAACAAAAAAAAAACTTCCCTTCAAATAATTTTTCATCTCAATTTACCTCGTCAAATCAGAAAGGTTAAGTACATAAGGACATTGACATGATAAACATAGTGGCATTGGCTCTCAATATTTTTAAAATCATATTATCTAAATATAAAGTGTTATATATTATCATTTCTAATTTTTTGTCATCAATCTATAGAAGATTTAGATATTCTAAGATAAAACAAAAAACTTGACTAATTTAAGAACAAACATATATAGATTTATAGTTTTTTTTTGAAGAAATATATAGATTTATAGTTTTGATTGGATGAACTAAAAAAGTCAATTTGTAGTGTATAGTGAGTCCTAATTCTCAAGTAGTTTATCTCTTTGGCCAGCAAGGAGGTGTTTGGATCCCAACTAAATTATGCTAGTAATTAGGTAAAATAACCTGGAGATGATGTTCCAAACATCCCAAATTATAGGATGGATTATGAATGAATTATAATTATCCCATAATCTTTCTTCAACCTGTTTCTTTAGATTATAGGTCATTTGTACTTCAACTAATAAAAATTCACCTTTATAATCTTGGGATCAAAAGAGTCTAGATTATTATAGCCCTTGATCTAGATTATTAACATGTCGTCCATAATTCCAGATTACATCGTACGTAGTCTAATTGGGATCTAAAGGAGCTCTAAGTGTACACGATGTGTCTATTCTGGCCAAGACCACGCATATTATTAGTGTACGAAGACCTGATGAGGACAAAACACAACTAGTATTATTACAGCATGAACCAATGCATCATATTGCGCCCGGCCCGGCCGTACGTTTGCGTGGTTTTCTACCATGTGCATGCAACCGTTGATGACACATTTGATTGAGAACATCAACTTCCATTCCGATCCTGTACTAATCCACTGCATTGCATGGATGATACATCACTTGAGCGCATGGTAAGCTCCAGATCCAGCAATGGCGCCCAGCGGAGGAGCAACTATGTAGACCCAGATCTTGGTGTACGTCCCTGTGGCGATCGCCGTTCCTAGCGTTCTCGCCGGATTCATCGACGCTCCGGTCGACTCCCTGCTCATATTGAGCCAACACATATACATAATTAAACATTTCAATTCATTGGAAACCTTATTAATTACTCGATCAATAAACAATAAAGCAATATTGGATCGAGGATTTATCTATCCGTTGCACGTACGCGGAGATGAGAGCGCTAATCATCACTACCGCCCCAGCTCCCACTGCCACCAGTTCTTTTAGCTGCATGCATCAGAGATTATACAGTGTCAAAATTCGAAATGGAACGCAGCAAGATGTTTGTTTGAAACAGTTCACCGTGGTTAATTCCTCATGAATCTAGAAAAATCTTGTATGTCTTAGACGGTTGCATTTGAGAATTTACTGCTCTGGGATCGGTGGAAAGAGCGGTGATGACGAAGAGGAGGACGAAGGTGGTGATGAACTCGACCCAAAACGCCTCAAAGGCGCCGATTCTAGGCACCGTGGAGACAGTAGCGCCTAGGTTCACCGGATCATAGAGCGCCTTGGCCACGAACGAGGCCGCCGTGGATCCGAGGAGCTGAGCGACGACGTAGGTCACGAGGTGAGCTGGTGGGAGGTAGCCAAACACGGCCATGGTGACGCTGACCGCCGGGTTGAGATGGCCTCCAGACACGTGGAAAATGGAGGAGACGATGACGACCACAGCCGTCCCCGCGGTCGCCGCCACGCCGAGCAGGCCCAGCGCACCGCCGTGCGCCTCATTCATGATGATCGCTGATATAGCACGGTGAAGATGAGCAGGAATGTCCCCAGGAACTCTGCTACCACCTGGATCAAGCATGCATGCGTGCATCAACACGTTGGAATCATCATGGGTTGTAGGTATTTGAAACACTGTGGTAGTGACTAGTTGTGACTTAGTGATGAGCTCAGCTAGGGTTTGCACTTGTCATTATTACCTTCTTGATGAGTGCAAGTGTCATGTTCTTGGCGGAGGCTGGAGGTGGATCATCGGATGCCTCGTTTTGTTGAAACCCTAGTGGCAGGATCTTGTTGGAAGGAGACCTGTGGGGGATGAAGATTGATATCTTGTCATCGCTCGTGTTCTCCTTGTCCACCAGCATGAAAGCTGCTGCTGCTCCTGCTGCTGAAGGGATGCTCACTGAGTAGTCCATGGAGACACTCCTCCGACGGCCGTCCATTAGCAGTAGTTCTTCTATTCTACGGCTGCTCGCTAACTCAGTTGTATGTGTCAATGATAAAGAAGAACTCAGGATGAGGAGAATGGCAGTGGGTATATATACATGGAGAGCCCACGGCTGACATGTATGGAGCATGCAAAGTGATGGATGCGATGCACCTGTTTAACACAAGGGCCAACACAAACAAAAACAAATCAGCTGAGAATGAACTCATCAATCATCACGGGTAATATTACATTATTCAGAAAATAGCCAAATGGCACTACGAGATGCTCCATAGTCCATACTACCAACATTTTACCTGTTCAAACCATGAGAACGAAAATATATACTTTCTTTCTCCTTCCATGGGAATCTTGGCGATGTTTATTACTGCTTGATGCCGTACGTCTCCTTCGCTGGAAGCACATCCTGACTTGCTGACAGACAACATTGTCCGGAGGCGGAGACCGATCGATTGCCTAATAATTTGTAAACGGGCAATGGGTTACTAGACTCTACTACTAACTAGTAGCATGTTGTCAGCTGGCGTCTCCGAGCTAGGGGTGTTTGATCCCTGACTAAAGTTTTGTCTGGGTCATATCGGACGTTTGGATGCTAATTAGGACTAAATATAAGCTAATTATAAAACTAATTACATAAGCCATGGTTAATTTGTGAGACGAGTTTATTAAGCCTAACTAATCTATTATTAGCATATATTTACTGTAGCACCATATTTCCAAATCATGGGCTAGTTAGGCTTAATATATTCGTCTAACAAATTAACCTTCATCTGTACAATTAGTTTTGTAATTAGTCTATGTCTAATACTTCTAATTAGTGTCAAACATCCGATGTGACAGGAACTAAAGTTTAGGACGGGGTATCCAAACACTAATATAACGCACTGACTGCTGGCTGATACTATGTTTGAAAGTGCATGGAATACTTCAGTTATCACATCAGTCACGGCCGGCCACGATCCATGCAGCTAGCAGCTTCAATCATCATTTTTCGTCCTCTTGTAAATATAAGAGAGTTGATTCCTTTCAGTAATCATTGTTTTATCTGAAGAAAATGTACTAATTCCGAGAAAAAAAAAGAATACCAGGCTTGGGCTGGGAATGGAAGACCAGAGACCGAGTCAAATTCCGGGCCGGGGACAGCAGGAACGCAAAAGGTCTACATGTCCTCTTCATGTTTATTACATGTTTGACCAGAGACCAAGTCAAACATACGATCACAAACCTCCTGAACCAATATGTATAGGCCAGTTTCAGCAGGGAGTTTCATAGCACAATTACCATAAGAGCCATAACTTTTGTGTTGGTAACTGAGTCGATGGGTTTTCATCCTGATGAAACTCCATTAAACACTCTCTATCTCTCTCTTCATATTAGCATGCCAAGTCATCAGATTTGTTGACGTGTCGCAATATTAAATGCAAATGAAACTCAGATGAAACTCCCATTGAGACCGGCCTAAGAGATGACAACATCCAGTGTTATATATTATATTAATTAACACAACTGTATGGAAGAACCCTTTGAGAGCCGAAGACGTTAAGGCAAAAATGGTCATTACAAACAGGTAAAAAAACCCAGCAATTTTCTAAAGAGTAAATTGCATTAGCATTCCTCAAACTTGTTTGGTTCTATCATCTCGATCTCTAAACTCGCAAATCGCTCATTTAGGTTCTCGAACTTGTTCGGCTGTATTATCCCAGACTCTAAACTTGCAAATCGTTTGATGTCCTCAAACTTAATCAACTGTGTCAGCCCAGTCCCTCAACTCGCAAATAATCCATTTAAACCATCAATCAATGTTTGGAGTCTCACGGCCAGTCCAATTGGGCCTAGACCTATGTATGCTAATGTGGCATTATGCTGATATATGTGGCTCCCATGTTAACTCCATCTCCTTCCTCCCTCGTCTCTCCTCTCTCTCTTTTCTCGTGAGCTCACAATGGGGGGTGGCACTGTTTGGGAGGCACGACTAGGGGCTAGGGGTGACACAACCGGGGTTATTGTGGCCATGGCGACACTCGGGCATAGGGGCTTGCATGGCTAGGGGCATGACACGGCGCAACTAGCCGCGTGAGGGCGTAGGGTGGCATGGTTGCCATGTTGTATAGCTTGAGGCTGAAAGCATCTAGGCCCCTAATTGGGTTTCGGTGATTAATGACAATGTTAGATTACTGTGACTAGCATGTGTTTTGCAGAGGCAATTAAGTTAGGTCACGGTAATGGAGATCGATTGGGCAATCGTGGATGTCATGCCCCTACGATGGAATTCATTTCGGTTTTCAAAGGATGGACGACACGGTTAAGGATGACTAGTTCTAAGTGTCGTTTGGAGTTGAAGAGACACTTAGAGTAGTTTAGTACTTTGTTTTTCCTTTGGTCGTACTATTAAGGGGGGTATGGACGGGTAGCTTGACCTATGTGAGTCTAGTGAGTTAGGTGTGGTGCACACTTATTAAAACTAGCACTAGGTAGCTCCTAAATATGCCTAAGATCCTTTGGAGCAAACTTCATTCACAAATGATCGATGTTTGGAAGTGAATGGAGGGTCAAAGACTGACGGACGTTGGCTCCGGTGCGACCGGACGCTGGCCGCAGGGTCCGGTCAGTTCATTTGACTGAGGTGAACTAGTCCGGTTTGACCGGACGCTGGAGAGGTCAAATGACCGGACTCTGAGGGCCAACGTCCGGTCGACTCCAGTAAGGTTCCAGAGAAGAGAATCTGCGACCGGACGCGTCTGGTCAGTGTTGACCGGACCCTGAGGATCCAGCGTCTGGTCGAGTACAATAAGCATCCAGTAAGGGAAAAATGCGACCGGACGCGTCCGGTCAGTGGTGACCGGACCCTGCCAGCGTCCGGTCAACACTTAAACACTGGTGTGCGGGTTGAACTGACCGGAGCGTCCGGTCAATTTGACCAGAGCGTCCGGTCACCCCGCAGAGGCACATAACGGTTCGTTTTTCAGGCTGTCTTATAAATAGAAGCTCCACTCGTATGTGGAGTGACTTTTGCTCATTTCAACAGCTGAAACACACCTTAGAGAGTGCCAAGAAGAGCAAGGTCCTAGTGAGGTGATTGAGATTTGAGAATCCAAAGAGAGCCCTCATTAGTGAAGATCAAGAGTAGCAAAGTGTGCATCCACCCTTCTCCCTAGGCTTGTTGTGGTCAAGTGAGAGTTCGTGCTGACTCTTAGTGATCGCCGTCACCTAGACGGTTTGGTGGTGATTGGGAGCTTGGTGATCATCCGGAAAGCTTGTGGATGACCCAACTCAAGTTGTGAGCGGTTGTGGGTGATTCACCGTGACGGAGTGTCAAAGAATCAACCCGTAGAGAGCACTTGATCCTTGCGCGGATCAAGGGGGAGCTACACCCTTGCGCGGGTGCTCCAACGAGGACTAGTGGGGAGTGGCGACTCTCCGATACCTCGGCAAAATATCGCCGCGTTTCCTTTCCTCTCTTTACTTTGAGCATTTCAATTCTTGTCATTTACATTCCTAGAATTGCCATGCTAGAGTAGGATTGGAACTAGGTTGCTAAACTTTTGTGCGTCAGATCAATAGAAACACTTCTCTAGGCACAAGGGGTTAATTGGGCCAACCATAAGACTTGTTTATTGCAAAGAATTTTAGAATTAACCCAATTCACCCTCCCTCTTGGGCATCTTGATCCTTTCAGAGGCTTCGGGGGAGGGAGAGGAGAGAGAGTGAGCTCAGGGGAGAGGATCACCAGTAATTTTGTTCAAATCATCTATGCACGGTTTATGCAAACCTCACTAAACAGTAGTTTTAAACCTAAAACAACCACTAAAGCGGCCTCTAACAAGCCTAATAACTAATCCTAATGCTTTTGATAATAGCCTAATCTTCTCTTAGGCACATTTGATGTCTAGAACACTATGAGATGAGCCTCAACTCAACTACAATTTCAACATAGAATAACACGCTCCAAATGGCTAGGGATGGAGGTATATGTAGCCCCACAAGCACCAACTAGCCGTTGGGACTTAGGGCGGTTGCCTTGGTAGGGTGCACTGGAGCTCTCCAGTAACCACGCTAGAGAATTCCAGTGCCCTCTATTGCACCAACTATCCATTGCAGAATGTTGGATAATAACTATGGTGGTTTATCCGGTGCAACCACTGGATAAATCTAGTGCTTAGTCTAGAGCATTGGGTGCTATATATGGAATGCATCGGCGAGCTCTGGTAACCATCTCTTCTAAGCCGCCCATGCATTGGCTTTCTTACATAACTCTGGTGTAATCTCCAATGCACACACCAGAAGGATGTTGTGCACTTTTTTTCTTTTCTGCCTCAGACTCCACCCACTTTTTTTCTTTTCTGCCTCAGACTCCACCCATTGGAAAACTCTGATACCCACCGGAAAACCCCAATGCTTTCTCTAATGCTAACTCCAGTGCTCCTTGACTTGCATTTCTTCACATTCTTTTGTCCGGGCTTCACTTTCTTTGATGTATTGAGCTTCTTGCTTGTCTTCTAGGGTCTTCAAAGATTCTACTTGATCTTCATTTGAAGTGTTGCATTGATTCCTTGATCTCCACCTTAACCTAACTCAAGTCCATCCTCATCCCTAGGACTAAGGGTCTGTTTGGTTCAACTGTGAGCCATTTGAAAAAAAAACTATAAACTGTTTGGTTGAGACACTGTGAAACCTACCCCCTCTCATTATCTCCCTTGAAACAGCTGTAAAATGTATCTCTATTTTCACCGATTTGGAAAGCTGAAAGCTAAAAATAGAGTCTAAGATACTGCGAAAATTGTACTACACGAAGCTGAACCAAACACAACCTATGAGCCTGTTTGTTTGAGCTGCAATTTTTAGGCTTTTGGCTCAAAAGCTGACCTTATGGCTTTTGGCTTCTTGCTATTGGCTTTTGTAATTAATTTTTAGTTTCTTAGCACATCAAAAGCTAGAAAAACTGTTATGATTACGCTTTTCAAATTTTAG